AAAGTGATATATTTCATCAAAGTGAAATATACACTCTTCCTCTCATCAGCTCTAAGACCGAATATTGAGGGAACCTACAAGCTATGACAACTCACAGATAAAACAAATACAAACACGGGATTTTACGTGGTTCGGCAAACTAGCCTACGTCCACGGGAGGGGGTTTCAATATGAGGAGAATACCAAACTTTACAAGTTCTCTCTCACTCACTCTTTCTTTTCTCTTAAAGAAAACTCACACAACCAAATATTTTTCCCACACAAAACACCTCCACAACCACTTCTATTTATAGGAATAGGCAAGGGGCAGACTCGAAAACATTTAGGCGGGCGAAATTGCGGGCACGCGGGAAGAAGACGCGGGAACACGAACTCGCGCACGAAGCCCGACGTGGGCTGGCAGCGGCGCACACGTCCGCGTCGTGGGTGCGGAGCTTGACGAGGGCACTGGGCTCGAAGCGGACACGACGTGAGGTGTGCGCACAATCTCGAGCTCGATCTCACGAGTTCGTGGGCTGGCACGAACACCCCCTGACCACCCACGTGGGTGGGCCCACTCATTCCCTGCGTTCACATAAATGAATGTAGGCCATCTACATTAGCATCTCATTTAAGATCATAATAGGGGAAGAATAAAACTAGCTGTTTGTGATTCAGGTTCACGCATTTGATTGTTTCCCGATATGCACTTTTACGCCTCGTTTGGTATGCGGGAATGAGGAGGAATGGAATGCAATTCCCACTTCCCATTCCCTCATACCAAACACACCTATATTTTAGATGTTGGAATGACCATTCCCTAGGAATGATCATTCCCACTATTTGTGGGAATGAGCATTCCAAGTGAGAAGATAAGGAATGGTCATTCCCATTCAAGTGAGAATCAAAAACTAGTTAGGTATTTTTCAATTATATCCATATTAATAATAAAAATCAATCTATCTAATGACTACGATTTTCTCTCTCCCTGCACCGAAATAAAAAGCTCTCCCTGCACCGAAATAAAAATCAATTATATTCATCGCCTTGGGTAGCTTTGGCGATATTGACGAAGAGCGAAACTGTGATCTCCGATCGGTCTCTCGCAAGCGCGATCAGGTGCGATTAGTTTCCCAAATTATTTAATCTTTCTAGTGCTTATTGATTTTCTATCTACGTGAATCAAATTTTTTCCTGAAAATTTTCCTGAATTGTTCTCATATTGTTCCCTTGCTGTTGAATCTGTTCTCAATCATGGAAAAAATTGAATTTTGATGCATTTTCTTGCATATTTTTTTTCTTAGAAAATGGAGATTAGGTTTCTGGTCTATATTAAGAATCAATTGGCACAGAAAATTCAGATTGCGATGAAAACGGAGATTAGGTTTCTCATATTGTTCTTTTTACACTCAATAGAAGTATGATGAGATGCTAACTAATCTAATTCAGAATCACCTCAAATCCTATCTCACCGGAACGGCCCAATCGAAAGGCGTCTTTTCTCCGCCTTCTTGAAAAGCCGAGATGAAATAAGATTTTTCTCGAACTCATTGCCGACAGCCAGCCGTCATAACATTAAATGCAAAGTTAAAACCATCATTACATCTCAATTTGATAGATTTCTCTCTCTGTCTTTTCATTTTATTTTCCAATTTCTCTTCCCTCACCTCAACTTACCTCAACACGTTTTTATCAGAGATTTCAACAAAATTTTAGCAGGGAAATAAAATAGAAACTTTAGATATTAAAGTGTTCAAAAATTGATTTGACGTGCCATGTTGAGAAAATAGATAAAACTGTCGGGTACCATAGCAAAATAATAAATTCATAAAAACTCAAAAAATAATAAAAAAAAACAGAAGGAAAGAAAGAGCAAAGCAAAAGATGGAGAACCAAGGTGACGCGGCACGCTCAAATTTGGGCCGTTCTTTTTAAAGAAGAGATTCAGTGGGCCGGGATGGCGCCCCATACAACGCGTTTGTCCGCCCGCACTCTGAATAATAAATTAATAATTTAAATTATCTCGTCATCTTATCTTCGCTCAGAGCTCGCCACGTAGCAGAGGTGGGAGGAATGGCCGTCGTCATCATCCTCTATTAATAAGCACGGTCCCCAGAGCACGGAGCAGAGAGATAAACCTAACGAGCACCCATCAATCAATGGCTGCTCTCTTTCTCTCTCCTCCCTGTTTCCTCTCTCTCTCCTCCTCCTCCATCTCCAAACGCCCAGTCTCTCTCCCTCTCTCGAGACCCCCCTCCGCCAAGATCCGCTCCCTGCTCTCCTCGAACTTCTCTCCCATCGCCGACCCTTCGCCCGCGGGCTTCCCCTCTATCGATTCGGAGCCTGGCAAGTGGGACCCATCTCAGTACCAGGCCCTGCTCAGGGGGGGAGAGCAGGTCACCTCGGTTCTCCAGGACATGATCGCTCTGGTACCGGACCGAATGGCTTTTAGTTTGCCTGGATGATCGATTTCTTGATTAGCTTGGTTCTGTTTCATGCTTGCGACCTGTTTGATGAAATGCCCATTTGGGAATATTTGGTTTTGTAGCTGGAGGATATGGAGCTGGATGCCTCGTCGGAGGCGGCGGCGGTGGAGCTTGTAGCGCAAGGGGTTATCGGGAAGAGGGTTGATGAGATGGAGTCTGGGTTCATGATGGCGATGGACTACATGATACAGATCGCTGACAAGGATAATGACCACCAGGTGACTGATGAAATGCTTGGCCCAGCTATCAGCTCTGTTTTTAATTTTATCTTTCGCTCTTTGTAAGTTTGGCATGCGTTCTGTGCGAACAGGAAAAGATAACTTTACTTTGTTAAATGTAATGCTTTTAGGATTTTCCGATTATCTTAACATTCAGTGGGGTGATCTATTATGGCTGTTAATTTCTATTTGATACTTTTGGTGGGACAAGTATTTATCTTTATATAATTGAAATTGTTTTTGCGTGTCCAGCGAAAGTCGCTTTTGGAGGTGATCAAGCAAACAGTGCTGGACCATCTCACCAAGAAATGCCCTCCACATGTAAGCTTCTTAGCCTTGCTGTATCGTACATTAAGCTGGTGAAAATTTGGAACAAAGTATAAAGTTGCTGTCAACCCATGCCTTTGAGCTAGTCTAAAACCGTTCTGGTTTCTACTGAAGGTGCAAGTAATCGGGTTGCTTTGCCGAACTCCGCAAAAGGAAAGCAGACATGAATTACTACGCCGAGTAGTCGCGGGTGGTGGTGTTTTTAAAAGTGAAAATGGTCTTAAAGTTCAACTTCCAGCAGCAAATCTGAATGACATTGCTAACCAGGCAGATGATTTGCTAGAGGTAAAACACTAAAATCCTAATGTTTAACAAGTTCTCTTTGACTATTAAAAAACTTTCAAGCTTGTTGGTTTATTCTTTTGCTATGACCATTCATGCATAATGTTTTCTCTCGCTTATCAGCAAGTTTATGTGCTACTTGACACACAAAATTAGTAGATATGTTGTGGCAACTCAATACTCATTTTTGTAGGTGTGTCACCATGAAATAATGGATACGTGGTGGCAACCCATTTATTCATGTTTCTAACCGAGTCACCATGCAATGGAGACGTGGTGATGCCCACACTCCTATGCACATGAGATGGGTTGGTCTCACCTCCCTTCTCTCTTGTTAACGCATTTAACAAATGAGCTACTAGCTTATAGCCATCAAACTCCATTATATTTATTTCTACATGCACGCACGCTCACACTTGTCGTCATAGTCATCGAGGGTAATTGCAGGTGTGGTTTGTGAGAAGGGGGAAATATGAGGAAATGCAGAAATTAGGGAATTTGTTTATTGCTGTGTGTTACTGCTATGTGTTACATTCTAGTAAATTAAATGCTCCTGCTTCATTTGTTTTCTAGAAAACTCGGCTGAAACTAAAAGAGCCTTTGTTAATAGATGTTATTTATAGAACAAAAGGAATCAGATAGTTTGAATAAGATAACTAAATTACCTTGTATAAAATGCATATTGATGTGGATGAAATAACCAAACTAGCTTGTTCCATAGGAACTGTTTGATTCATCTTATTTCTCTATAAATTTCTCAATCCTAAAGCAATGTTCTTCACTCTTTACTTTAAATTAAATAATCACTTATGGTAAACTATCTTAATCTTTCTATGGAAGTGATTTATTAGAAAACGACGATTGTTTCCAGAGCAAATATATAAGAAATAGTGTAATACCCAAAAGAATAGTCCCACATCGAAAAGTGATGAGGACTTCAAAGTGTTTGTAATGTAATCCAAAGGGCTCAAGAGTAACAAGTTCTAACACTTTTTAGCAGGAGATTTAGCCAAACGAGTTGCTCTTAGTGCGTCCTGCGGTTTACACCGTGCCAACGGGCTCGCAGGCCTAGGGCGTGACAATAGGGTTAATCGCGAATAGGCCACTCTAGTATCACCCAATTGCGAATAGACCCCTGAAATTTTTTTTGTGGCGAATATACCCCTCTGTAGTGTTGGCCTAGGTGCGAATACACCCCTGTAGTGAACTCTTTCGACTCGTTTAAAAGTAAAAATTAGCAATTGAGGTCTATCCTCACCAATAGAACTATAACGCCTCGTTTGGTACGCGGGGATGAGGAGGAATGGAATGCAATTCCCACTTCCCATTCCCTCATACCAAACACACCTATATTTTAGATGTTGGAATGACCATTCCCTAGGAATGATCATTCCCACTATTTGTGGGAATGAGCATTCCAAGTGAGAAGATAAGGAATGGTCATTCCCATTCAAGTGAGAATCAAAAACTAGTTAGGTATTTTTCAATTATATCCATATTAATAATAAAGAATGTTTGGGTGAGGCGCTATGCAAGTGGGCAATTTTAGATTGACAATTTAGGCTAGTATATCATTTTGCTATTTCGAAACTTATTATTTTAGTTGGTATTGTTTTATGGATTTTTGCTATTATGAATTGAGTGATTTTGATACTTTATCAAATAAGTTAATTTATATATCTAGAACTGTGGATTGTGGATATCATTCTTTTTTTTTGGACCTATGAAAGATACGATAATCTTTTTTTTTATTTTTCTTTAATTTTTAAGACTAAGAAATAGCGAGTATTGTTTAAAAAATATAAACGAAACATACACCTGATGGATAACACGAGCATTAGTATAACACATACCTAGATTAATATAACATATGCGTATATAAATTTATTTAGTTATTATCATTAATGTTTATTTTTTATCTTATTAAAAATCTATGTTGTTGTAAGGGCATTATTAGAAAATAAGATTTCATTCTCACTTGTGTACTAGTGATACCAAACATGGGAATGGGAATGAGATTTCCATTCTAGCTTCATTCTACAAACGCACCCAAACAAGAGAATGAGAATGACCATTCCATTCCCACATGCAATCCATTCCATTCCTTCTTCCATTCCATTCCCAAGTCTGTCCATTCCCGCGTACCAAACGAGGCGTTATATAAACGACCGTATTTGTGGAGAGGGGGAGAGAGAGAGAGAGGGAGAGGACATCCATTCTATGTAGGAGCCATGTAATCCAATTTCGGGATTGTTTTAGTTGGTTTGTAAATTCTCCTTTTATTTATTTTCTCTCGTTCTCTTTTGGACTACATGCTGTGGTTTCTTATCCAATGATGTGTTTTTTTTTTCCTTATTTCTCAAATAGCTTCACCTCGCTCAAATAGATTCTGTTGCATGTTTATTTCCTATTCATTGTTTACTTTGGTGAGTGAGATGGGATCATAATTTAGGTTCACGCATTTCATTGTTTCTTAATATGGACCTCTTTTATATAAACTAATCACATTTGTGGATGGAGGACATTCATTCTCCCAATTAGTAGTATGCCGGAGTCATGTAATCACATTTCAGGAGTATTTTAGTGGGTTTGTAATCTCCTTATGGGTTTTCTGTTTCTTTTGGACTTCTAGATGCTCTAGTTTCTTATCTGATGGAGTCGTTTCTTCTTCACCCTGTTTCTCAATTTGCTTCACTTCATTTTAGTAGATTGTGAAGCAATGTTTGTTTTTTTTTCAACTGTTTACTTTTACGCATGAGATATGATCATATAAGAACATGACAAGTTATAAAGCAAGTACTGCTCTGCACTCCTCTGTGCTCGTGAAACGTACATCTTGATGTTTTCACTGTCAGGCATGCGTGCCTAATGCAGCCAAACCTCCAAATCCACTCAGCCAATTTGTTTGACAAAGGAAAATAAAACAAAAATGGCGGGCCCCACAGCATAGTAAAATATTAATATTTTTATTGTGCATAGTGTTTTTCCAAATCCTATAAATAGGCTCCAAATCCTTAAGGAAAAATTCATCCCAGAAACAACTTCTTATATAGAAGAGTGTGAGAGAAAAAATAGAGATAGTTTCTCTTTGTAAAAAGAGAGAGATTGTAACTCCAGAGCCTCATAGTAGATTCTTCTATTCTTCCCCGTGGACGTAGGCAATTCAGTGCCGAACCACGTAAATATGTGTGTTCATCCTTTTATCTCTACTTTTGCTCTACTATTGCTGCGACCCTGCTCTATTAGGCCCCGGGTTTGTCCCAACAAGTGGTATCAAAGCCAACTTAGGGTGCTTGTATATATCTACTTATCGTATGCTCTGTAGCTGCCATCAAAGGTGGATCCTCCATATCAGAAAATAAGTTAGATTATCATTTACCCTTTGAAGGTGACGGGTATTATTCACGAGTACGGTACTGTTCACAAATACGATACTATTCACAAGTATGGTACTATTCACGAATACGGTTACTGTTCATAAATATAGTACTATTTACGTGAAATAGTAAGAAGTTATTGTTCGTGGTAGAAGCAATGGCGGCGAAGTTCAATATCAAGAAATTCGACGGGAGTAATTTTTCACTATGGAAGTTGAAGATAAAGGCTATCTTGAGAAAAGATAATTGCCTGGCGGCCATCGATGCAAGGCCGGACGACATCACAGATGATAAGAAGTGGGATGAGATGGACGAAAATGCTATTGCAAATCTCCATCTGGCATTAGCAGACGGAGTGCTGTCAAGCATAGAGGAGAAGAAGACAGCAAAGGAGATCTGAGATACTCTAACAAAGCTATATGAGGCGAAATCCATGCACAATAAAATCTTCTTAAAAAGGAGACTTTACACTCTTAGGATGGCGGAATCTACATCGATGACCGACCACATCAACACCCTAATGTTCTCCCAACTCACAACGTTAGGGTATACAGTTGGTGCGAATGAACGTGCAGAACTTCTACTTCAGAGTCTACCTGACTCGTATGATCAACTCATCATCAACCTGACAAACAACGTCCTTACGGACAATCTAGTCTTCGACGATGTTGCAGTCGTTGTTCTGGAGGAAGAAAATCGGCGCAAGAACAAGGAAGACAGGCAGACAAGTTCTCAACAAGCGGAGGCTTTAACAGTGATGAGAGGAAGATCAACGGAACGTGGCTCCAGTGGGAGTCATACTCATGGTAGATAAAAATCAAGAAATAAGAAAAATATCAAATGCTACAACTGTGGCAAAAGAGGGCACGTCAAATCGGAGTGTTGGCACAATAAGAAGAGTGGAGATAAAAAATCTTCAGAACCATCAACATCTCAAGGATGCATTGTCAGCACATCAGACGATGGTGAAATTTTATTCAGTGGAGCAACCACTGTTGATGAAGGAAGAAAGATGTTTGCTGATGTCTGGCTTCTAGATTCAGCAGCCTCCTGGCACATGACCTCCCGAAGAGAATGGTTTTACAAATATGAACCTATCTCAGGAGGATCTGTATTCATGGGGAATGATCATGCCTTGGAGATTTCTGGTATTGGCACTATCAAAATCAAAATGTTTGATGGTACAATATGCACTATTCAAGATATGCGACATGTGAAGGGCTTGAAGAAGAATCTATTGTCTTTAGGACAATTAGATGAGCTCGGGTGCAAAACTCATATAGAAAATGGAATCATGAAGATTGTCAGAGGGGCGCTTGTGGTGATAAATGTTTGGTTCAAAAGTCGCTGCTGTGGAATTCATTATAACTTTGTTCGATTACAACAAATTCGA